CTGGCTGCGGCTTCCAGAGGCTCCTGCCTAGCTGGGCCCTGCGAGTCCGTTTCTTTGGTGTTAGCCCCCTGAGCTGAGGGGGCTGGCCCACCCTCTGCAGCCCGGAGCTCCCACGCTCCTGGAATGAACGGGCAGCAGACTGTGATCGTGGGGCCCAGGCGCATGGCAGGCACTCCCAAAACACAGCTCGATGGCGGGTGTATGCAGGTGAGGCAAAGGCACCACTGCTAGTGACGACGGTCCCCAACTTTGGTGGAAATGCTAAATAAGCACCTTTATCCCGTTTCTCATCCTAAAAAGAACTTGGTCATAGGGGAGCGCCATTCCTATTTTGCAGAGAGAACCATGAGGCTCTGAGTTGCTTAAGGTCTTGCAGCTGGAATTCTGGGACCAGAGGGAGGCTTGGGCTCCACTGGGGCCAACAGGGGTGCCGAGCCCTGGCAGACAGCGAAGTCTAGGGTTGCCGTCAGATTGGTCTGCGTGGTCCGGCCAACAGAAAGGTCAGGGCACTGTGCTCACCATGGTCATGCTGTGTTGAGATGGGCGGCTTGGGGTGTGATTGAAGGGGAACCCCCTGGAGCTATGGTGACCCTGAACGTGGATACCATGGTCTTTGTGTCAAACCTTTGCCCTTCGGCCTCCACGCCACCCAAATGTTCTTTGATCCAGAACACAGGAGAGCATCTTGGTTTGGGGGGGTCGTGTCCACGGCTGTTCTGTTCACAGTGAGAGCTGGTTAGCGTGGTCTGTGTGGTGCAAATGCAGAGGGAAGCCCTGCATCGCTTCCCCATGGGGCCCTGAGTCCCCTCCTGGCCTTTGTCTCGAAGGGAGGCCGGTGGCCTGACTCAAGACTCTGCTCAGCCCCCGTGTTGAAGGGCTTGTTTACTGGAACATGAAGGTTTTTAAGGAAAGCTGTGAGACTGTGGGTTCCTGCTTCTCATTCTAAGCTCATAAGGATTATTATGCTCAATTTATAAAAGCCTGGAATTGGGTCTCTATTCAGGGGCTCCAGAGGAAGAGGATTAGTGAGTCCAGCCCCTGCGCCTTAAAATGAAGTGCTCTGTGACTGAAAAGCAGTCCTGCAGACAGATTTGAAAACTGTCAAATCTTAGTAATGAATTGATGAAAATGCTCCGGCAATGACCTGTATTTTAATTTTCTAAGCAGACCTACAGTCTGCTTAGAAGACAGATGTGGTACCCACCGTCCGCAGGCTGCACGCTTCCTCACGCAGGGAAGAGTGTGTCTTGGGTGGGGAGGAGTGGTAGATGTCAGGGTCGCATGTAGCCATGTGTCTCTGGGAACCAGAGCAGAGCTGGTGTCCTGCCTGTCACCTGAGTCCCCCACCTGTGAGCTCTGCCCCCACCACAGGCAGAGTCACCTGTGGCCCGAGCCCTCCCGCTCATCCAGCAGGTGTTGCTGGCTTTGTAGTAGGGAGGCCTCAGATTGTGGAGTGGAACGACCCTCTGAACTGTGGGGAGGCCGAGGCCAGGATGACACGGGCGCATCTGGCCAAGGGGCCCTCTTTCTCCGGGGGGAAGGGGGAGCCATCTCAGGGACTCTGGCTTCTGTGTCCTGTGCCCCCCTTTGCCGTGGCCGCATGCCAGGCTGTATCCAGGCCCCAGCTGCTCCTTGGACCCCTCGGGAGAGCGTCCTAGATGCTCCAGGAACGTCCCGCAACACTGGGACTAAGACTCTCCAGTTCTTCAGCCTCTCAGGCAGTTGGTTTGTGAAGTGCCTCCTGGCTGCGGCGATGCCCAGGCACCTTGTCACTCCTCGTGACCTCGAACCAGTTGTTCCGCCAACTCTCGGGAGGGGCAGGGCCACCCATGCCCCGTCTCAGGGTGAGAGGCCACAGTGCAGGATTTCCTCTGTAAACCGCTTCCAAGAAGGAAAGCAAGGTGTCGACAGCGCCAGATGTCAAAGACGAGCTACATGCAGTGGAAGCAGCAGCTACTGCCAGCCACCCGTCTCTGGTGGAGGCAGCAAAGGCCTAGGGGCCGGTGCTCTGACCCCAGCACACTGTTCCTGGCCTGCAGGCTCTGATGAGTCACACAGCTTCGAAGGGAAGGGGGTGGGGTGCAGCCAGAGGGGCCCGCGGGCTGGGAGGCCACGGTGCAGCTGGCCCCACCACCCTTGCCCAGATTCTGCCTCGGGCCGCCCCCCCACCGCTGCTCACACTGACACCAGTGGCTTGGTGTCTGGGGACTAGCGCAGGTCCTCAGGGAACACTCAAGGACTAAATGTGGGCGTGTTAGCTCCAAATCACATCCAGTGTTCGGTGTTCGCTGGCCAAAGGCAGGCAGGGCTGCACTTCCCAGGCTGGCCCCGCGGAACACGACCTCTGTTCTCTCTCCCTCCGTCACAGCCCCGGGTCTCTGGCTGCTGGGCCCTGGGGAGGAGGGTGGAGCCGGCCAGCAGCTGCTCCCTGAGGACAGGCTCTCCCGCTAGCCCTGTCAGGGCCGTGGGCCTTCTGGAACCCGCGGTGTAGTGCCTTTCCTGGGAAGTGTGGTGGACAGAGGGGTTGTTCCTGCCAGCTGGGTTTGGCCTTGGGTTGAAGGGCGTTCAGAGGGTAATGTAATCTCAGGAAGCTTCCTGTGCCCCAGGCACACACCATGCGGTGACACGGTCACTGGTCCTGGAAAGCCCATGGGGGGGGGCTCCCGAGCAGTCCCTGGTTGTTGGGGGAGACCCAGCATTGCTCCAGAGGAAGGCTGCCAGGGCTGGCCTGCCTCAGGGCGGCGGATGGTGGGTGAGAAAGGAGCTCCTGTCCTGGTGCTCCAGGACCCCCGGCCCTGCCCTCAGATACTGCCCAGCGGGATTCCCAGACTCCCCCCCCCATCTCGGCTGAGGCACATCTCAGTGGCAGGGCCTGGGCCTGTGGGCAAGTCCCCTCCTGGCCCTAAACTGACAGGCTGCTGCTCACCTCCAGCACCTGGGAGAGGCACCCCAAGTGTGGGAGCTGCTGCGGAGGGGCAAGCTCCATCGGGGCCCGGCTGCTGGGCACCCGTGCGGCTGGTGTCTTAGCTGCTCACAGCGCGGAGGCTGGGTCCCCCCCACCACCACCATTGCCAGCCTGGGGAGGGGCAGGGAGCAGCCAGGCCTCACGGCCCTCTCTTCCCTGAGTTCAAGGGCAGTCCCCTGGCAGGAGCCGAGCAAGCCTCAAGGGGTTTTTTAGTAGTTGAAGGGGGGCCAGCAGTCAGGGCCCCATTTGCCAGGGGCCCTGCTGGCCTGCACCCCAAGCCATGGCCATGGCGGCTGCCTGCCAACCCTGGGCCCAAGAGGGCCCAGGCATCAGACATGGCCACGTGGACACAACTCATGGGGCAAGTGCAGAACACGCTGGGGACCACAGACGGGAGAAGGCAGACGTGACAGACTGAGACGGGACGCATCCTGGGGCCGACCCTCCCCCCCGCCCCAGGACCCCGAGCAGGGAGAAGACAGCACAGGGTCACAGCACATTCCAGACGCCACGCCGATGGCCACACAGGGCGTGCGGGTTGGGGGCTGAGACGGACACTGGGCTCGCCCCTTACCCTTCTTCTTCCGGACGGAGGCTTGCAAACAGAAAGGGGAGCGTGAGTCCTGTGGCCGGTGCGCCGGCAGCGCTCCCCCAGGGCCCGGGCTGGGCTGCTGCCCTGGGCTCCCCCCGCCCTGCACTGACTGCAGCTCGGGGCGGACGCTGGTGGGCGCAGCAGCTGAAGAAAGAGCTGGACGCCCTTTCTGATCACATCCTCCAGCAAACCTGCTTCCCTCAGGGACGGGGGCCTTTCCTCTCCCTCAGCCCCCGCCCTCCCTGCACCCTGCCAGAGGGGACCGTGTGAGCCCAGGCATCTCTTAGGGGGACCCTCACAGTGCCCTAGGCTGACACCCCTGGAGCCCTTATTAAAGGTGTCCTGCCCACAGCCCACAGGCCCCTTGGAGGAGCCAGAGCAGCACATGCTGTCTGGGTTTAGAAAAGCATGTGCAGAAACTCACACTGTGGTCCCCGCCGGGGCCAGGCCCAGGGTTCAGAGGGGTTTTCCTGGTGAGTCTTGTTTGGATGGATGCGGTGTGGTTATGGAGGGACGAAAGGAAAGGGGCTTTGCGGAAACTAGTTGTTCTGGGCGGGGATGGGCAGGACCACAGCAGGGATGCTCTCATCTCGAGAACTTAGGCTTCAGCCTGAAACAAAGACTCCAGCCCTGGGACAGGGTGGCAAGCGAGGGGGTGCTCGCTGGGAGATGGCCTGGGCCCGGAGACCCTCCCAGAGGAGCCGTGAGGGGGAAAGGGCCTCTCTGTACTGTTTTTGGAGGGGAGGCCAGGGCCAGAAGGTCTCCTCCTGAAGGCTGGGACCAGATAGGAGTGATGGCAAGTCAGAGACCGGCAAGGACGCTCAGACTACCCGCCCCACCCCGACCAGCTGGGGCTGATGGGGGTGTGGCCATGGGCGCAGGGTTTGTTTTGTGCCCCCATAACCTACCCTGGGCAGAGCTCAGAGACGCCCACCAGGGCCTCCCAGTGGAGTAGGCCTTCAGCCCACTCGCCACTCCTGTGTGATCAGAGCCCACTTCCTCCGGGAGGTGTCCCTGGCCTCCGTGGTGACTCGCAGTGTGGCACTTAACCAGCACCTGGGAGGCTCACACCACCAGCTCGAGTCATCCCTCTTCAACAGCCACACGGCCGCTAGACCCAGGGCCCACCTTGCTCTGCGCATCCTCCCCTGGGCCAGGTGGCATCCAGTGGCCACAGCCCTCTGTTCTTGTAGAGCTTTCCTGAAGGCACCAGGAGCTCCCTTGACCTGGCCTGCAGCCCACCAGGTCTGCAGCCCCACTGCTATCTATGCCAGACCCAAGGGCCAGAGCTTCCTGGTCCTAGCTGTGCACGAGAGGACCAGCAGGGCGGGTTTCAGGGGGGGCTCCCTAGACAGCAGAGGGCTGCTTACCTTTATCCACTAGTGAGAGGCCCAAAAATTCAAAACAAAACAATGTTAGACGAACTGAAAGAGTTTAAGACTAGTAACCACCCCTGAAGCCAGCAGGACCCCAGCGGGCCAGCATGGGAGCCCTGCATCTGGGGGCATCTCCTGACACCATTCTGGGGCCTGGGGGCCAGGAGAGGGGCAGGCAGGCAAGCAGAGGGCCATGCGCAGGCTGGGGCTTGGCCAAGGCTGGCCCGGCCGGTGTGCTGGGAGCTGGCAGCAGTGCAGGGCTGGGGCGGGCCGGACGCGGCTCTTACCGAGCTCCTCCAGCTCCGAGGTCATGGACTTGGAGCGCAGGGTGAGGGCCGTGGTCGGAGCGCGCTTTGGAGGTGGAGGAGCTTGAGGGGCAGGAAGGAGAGACGGAGGTGAGAATCTGGCCACAGTGCCGCCCACCCCACCCCCACCTTACAGAGCAGCCGGGAGGAGGGGACCCGGAGCCTGCTGGGAAAACTGAGGCAGTGTCCCCCAGGGTGGGGAAGCTGGCAGTGGTCACCCTGCAGAGTCATGAGCCTGGATGAGTCTGCAGGCTCCCTGAGGAACCAGGACAAGCCCTCATCGGGAGGCCGCCCTGCCTCTCTGTACTCGGCCCCCAAGCGCACCTCACACTTGGGGTCCCTCCCGTCTGTAGGGCCAGGGCCCAGTGTGAGGTGCAGCAGAGGTCTGCAGAAGAGAGTCTGGTCCAGCTCTCTGTAGGCCTGCTGGTGACTAACGGGGACAGGAGATTCCAGCAGCTGCAGCAGGACGGGGTTCTCCCAGTTGCAGTGGCTTTACTT